ACAACTTAGTGTGTTTTATGATTATAGAAGAATCAGGTAAATAACTTAGCCAAGACAGCTCTACAACTTAGTGTGTTTTATGATTATAGAAGAATCAGGTAAATAACTCAGCCAAGACAGCTCTACAACTTAGTGTGTTTTATGATTATAGAAGAAACAGGTAAATAACTCAACTCAGCCAAGACAGCTCTAAAACTTAGTGTGTTTTATGATTATAGAACAAACAGGTAAACTTAACTCAGCCAAGACAGCTCTACAACTTAGTGAGTGTGTTCTATGATTATAGAAGAAACAGATAAATAACTTAACTTAGCTAAGACAGATCTACAACTTAGTGTGTTTTATGATTATAGAAGAAACAGATAAATAACTTAACTCAGCCAAGACAGCTCTACAACTTAGTAAGTGTGTTTTATGATTATAGAACAAACAGGTAAACAACTTAAATCAGCCAAGACAGCTCTACAACTTAGTAAGTATGTTCTATGATAATAGAACAAACAGATAAATAACTTAACTCAGCCAAGACAGCTCTACAACTTAGTAAGTGTGTTTTATTATTATAGAAGAAACAGGTAAATAACTTAACTCAGCCAAGACAGCTCTACAACTTAGTAAGTGTGTTTTATGGTTATAGAACAAACAGATAAATAACTTAACTCAGCCAAGACAGCTCTACAACTTAGTAAGTGTCTTTTATGATTATAGAAGAAACAGGAAAACACACTAAGTTGTAGAGCTGTCTTGTCTAAGTTAAGTTATTTATCTGTTTCTTCTATAATCATAAAACACACTGAGTTGTAGAGCTGTCTTGGCTGAGATAAGTTATTTATCTGTTTGTTCTATAATCATAAAAGACACTTACTAAGTTGTAGAGCTGTCTTGGCTAAGTTAAGTTATTTATCTGTTTCTTCTATAATCATAAAACACACTTACTAAGTTGTAGAGCTGTCTTGGCTAAGTTAAGTTATTTACCTGTTTCTTCTATAATCATAAAAGACACTTACTAAGTTGTTGAGCTGTCTTGGCTGAGATAAGTTATTTAAATGATTATAGAAGAAACAGGTAAACTTAACTCAGCCAAGACAGCTCTAAAACTTAGTGTCTTTTATGATTATAGAAGAAACAGGTAAATAACTTAACTCAGCAAAGACAGCTCTACAACTTAGTGTGTTTTATGATTATAGAACAAACAGATAAATAACTTAACTCAGCCAAGACAGCTCTACAACTTAGTGTGTTTTATGATTATAGAAGAAACAGGTAAACTTAACTCAGCCAAGACAGCTCTACAACTTAGTAAGTATGTTCTATGATTATAGAAGAAACAGATAAATAACTTAACTCAGCCAAGACAGCTCTACAACTTATTAAGTGTGTTTTATGATTATAGAAGAAACAGATAAATAACTTAACTTAGCCAAGACAGCTCTACAACTTAGTGTGTTTTATGATTATAGAAGAAACAGGTAAACTTAACTCAGCCAAGACAGCTCTACAACTTAGTAAGTATGTTCTATGATTATAGAAGAAACAGATAAATAACTTAACTCAGTCAAGACAGCTCTACAACTTAGTGAGTGTGTTCTATGATTATAGAAGAAACAGATAAATAACTTAACTCAGTCAAGACAGCTCTACAACTTAGTGAGTGTGTTCTATGATTATAGAAGAAACAGATAAATAACT